TTTTTTTTCGGGCCCACCTACCGTTGTGGTTACTGAGCTGCCCCACGTGTTGCCTGCGCTGCGCTGCCCGCACGCGCCTTGCCTTGCCTGCGCTGCGCTTCCTGCGGGCGCCTTGCCTTGCCTGCGCTGTGCTGCCTGCGCGCGCCTTGCCTTGCCTGCGCCTTGCCTTGCCTATTGTGTGAGCTGCGCTGCTCGCGCGCGCTTTGCCTTGCCTGCGCTGCGCTGCCAGCACGCGCCTTGCCTTGCCTGCGCCTTGCCTTGCCTTGCCTTGCCTGCGCCTTGCCTTGCCTTGCCTTGCCTGCGCCTTGCCTTGCCTTGCCTACGCCGCTCGCGCGCACGCCCTGCCAAGCCCCGCACACGCTGTGCCCTGCCCCGCGTTGCGCTGCCCCGCGCACGCTCTGCTCTCCCTAGCGTCGCGCATCCCCGCTGCCCGTCGCGCCGTGCGCCCCTGCAGCCCGTCGCGTCGCCCGTCTGCCCTGCCTCTGCCCGTCGCGTCGCCCGTACGGGCTGTCCCAGCCCGTCGCGTCGCCCGTCCGCCCTGCCTGCCTGTCGCGTCGCCCGTACGGGCTGCCTGCCCGTCGCGTCGCCCGTACGGGCTGTCCCAGCCCGTCGCGTCGCCCGTACGGGCTGCCTGCCCGTCGCGTCGCCCGTCCGCCTTGCAGCCCGCGCGTCGCGCCTCTGTTACCCCGCGCGTCGCGCCCTACGGCAGCCCGCGCGCCGCGCTCTGCAGCCCCGCGCGTCGCGCTCTGCTGCAGCCCGCGCGTCGCGCCCTGCTGCCCTGCACGACACGCGCCCTGCTGCCTACGCCGCCCAGGCCGAGCCGAGCCGCCCTACCCGACCCGATCCGCCCTCCTGCTCGTGCTACTACTGCTGCTGGTGGAGGTGCTGCTAGGAGTGCTAGAGGTGCTGCAGCCTAGACTCACCGGGCCGCTCTACTGCTCTTACTGCTGTTGCTGCTGCTCGTGCTGCTGTCTTCCCTCCGTACCGCCCTCCTCCTCGCACGCCTCCTTGCTTACCCGCTATGACTTCCCTTCGTAGTAGCGGTGGGAGTGGTGGCGGCGGCGGTGGCGGCAGTGGGAGTGGTGGCGGCGACCATAGTTGCAGTCGCGGTGGAGCTGTTCAGTATGGAGTTTCTGGCGGTGGCAATATCCAGCTGCAGTGGCGTCCGATTGAGACCCTTCCACCCCAGCAGCTTCATGCGTGGTACGCTCAGCGTTGTGCGTCTCGGAGAGGTGGCGGCGGCCGTAGTAGCAGTCGTGGTGGAGCTGGTCAGTGCGGAGTCTCTGGCGGTGGCCAGATGCAGCTGCAGCGGCACCCGCGCGAGACCCTTACGCCCCAGCAGCTTCGTGAGTGGTATGGGGCTGTAGGACGACTGCTCGCTGCCCGTACGTCATTCGCACAAGTGATCGAGCTGGTCGGACTTGCGGGACAGTTGGTCATACAGAATCCCGCTGCTTCTCCCGTCTGAGCGACGCTTGGCGAGCACGGTTTGGCGACGAGACTGAGCTACCCCTCTGGCTAGAGCTGCTTCAGGACGGAGTAGATATATTTGCCTTAGACTATGATATATCCTTACTGCCATGTATGCTTTGACTATTGGTACTGAGGGTGACTGTTACCTGTGTGTGCCCCCTGACCCTGGTATAGCGGCTGCTGCTCTAGGTGCTAGTGAGTCTGCTCTCTCTGGTACTGCTCCAGCTGGGGCCTTGCACACCTTTACACTTGACTCCCGTGCTTCCCGCTGTTTATTTCGCGCCAGTACCACGGTCACACCCCTCCCTGCACCTGTCCTTGTCTCACTGGCTGACCCCTCTGGGGGCCCAGTGCTTGCACGGTCTACCACTGTGCTTCCGTGTCCGGCGGTCCCGTTTGATGAGCTGTCTGGTCTCCACCTCCCCTCGTTCTCTACGAACTTGGTGAGCAACGCCGTCCTTCAGGATCACTGGGTTGACACCTTTACTCCTAGAGGACTGCAGGTGACACACTGCACGTGCTCTCCGACCGGCCGCCACCTGGCCACGTTCACACCCTCACCACGTACGCCTGGGTCCAGTCTGTACACCCTCACCACTGTGTCGCGTCACGCCACTTTGTCTCCTCAGCTGTACGCGTCTGCTCAGGTAGCTACCCACTATGAGTGTCGTCGCCTGTCGCACGACACTCTCCTGTGGCACCACCGCCTTGGTCACCCCTCCCTGCCTCGCCTGCGCCGCCCTGCATTCCTTGCGTCGAGGGGCGGCAGCGCGCCGCTCCTCACTCCTCCTCGTTCCCTCCTACAGAGGCTCCGCTGCAGACTCTCCACCTGGACGTGTGGGGCCCAGCCCGCGTCCAGGGACAGGGCCGCGAGCGGTACTTCCTGCTGGTTGTCGACGACTACACGCGTTACACCACGGTCTTCCCCTTGCAGCGCAAGGCGGATGTCCCTGCTGTTTTGATCCCTTGGATCCGCGCTGTTCGTCTCCAGCTCCGCGAGCGGTTTGAGCGGGACTTTCCTGTCTTGCGTCTGCACTCTGACAGAGGTGGTGAGTTCACCTCCAACCTCTTGGGGGCCTTCTATCAGGTATTATAGTCACAATAGGCTTCAATAGGCTTCAATGTGCCTAGAGCCAAAGATAGAGTGCGCAGTCAGATTTCTGCACAGCAGCTTTAAACGATCATAGCGATGTGCTCACAACTCCAAATGACCTCATTCAACTTGGATCTGGAGCGTCTCAACGTCGCCTACAATAGGCAATTTAACGTCAGATTGAGCGAGCGGCACTATGGCAGCAACGAACACACATTTACGAACAACTAGGAAGAGTTACGAGTTGGGAAGGACTCCCAGCTCCTACAAACCCCAAGAGCCGAGGTACAGTGATGGGGAACAGTGCCACACTGTCCCCAACCAAGAAGGTGCCCCGAAACTACCCTTCACAAGGGCCTACACCAAATTGAATGTTACACTACACTTTGTAATGTAACTATCTTCAATATCTAAGGGTGTACCCTTTTGGCGAGCTTCGAAATCACTTGAAGCTTGAACCAAGGCTCGGGTTCTTCATCACAAAACTCATCCTCGAGTTCTTGATGGGTCTGCTGCACACACCTGCGACACGCCGAACGTTCGACACAGGACAAAATAGAAACCGCGCACGAGACACACGACAAAATAGAAACCGCGCACGAGACACAAATGACCACATTAACACGCGGCTAGCGATAACTCGCTATTGACTTGACACACACACTCGACATCATGACCCATCATTCACACACCATTATAAGCATGAAATATATATTTATTTCATGCACTCATACCACTCCATGCACACACGCATGCACGCACACGGACAACAAGCCGAGTGCAAACCGTAGGGTTGCACCAACCGTAGGGTTGCACCAACAAACTCCCCCTCGGGTTGTTGGCCTTAGGATCTTGCTCTCTCAGTTCAGAGCCATCCCAGCCAGCTTGCAACACTTCCAATGCTGCTGCTCCACCAGCCTCTTGGTCATCATGTCCGCTGGCTGCCCCGTCGTCTTCACGTAGCGCAGTTCAACTTCACCCGCGGCCACCATGCTCCTTGTCCAGTGCCACTTCACCCTCATGTGCTTCGTCAGCCCATGCAACACGGGGTTCTTGGCTAGAGCAATGGCTCCCTGGCTGTCACAGTAGAGAGGGGTAGGTCCTTGCTGCTCCTCCCCCAATTGGAAAGTGACAAATGTCAAAGGTGGGGTGCCTATAGAGAGGGGATTTGTGTGGCATGGGGTTTCCTTTGGTTGGGGACTCCTTGGGACCTTCCCTCTCGTCCTCCTCTTCCCTCCCACCTGGTTTAGAGCTACTCCAATTTACTCTTGGAACTTGTGAAACTATTGTGAGTGAGTTAAGTTTCTATGTGGCAGCATACCCCCTAGTGCGCCAAAATTGATAACTCGAGTTATACTCTGCAGGAAAACCCGTCAGCTTTAAAACGCCGTCGTGAACTCAATTCTTGATGAAAAAAATCGTTGTGAGCTATATATGGATAGAGCTCTGAGCGACGAATCCGTAGCACCAAAGAACGCCAAGATTGGCGAAGAAATGAGAGATTGGCCAAGATTGACGATTGGCCAATCGTCAATTATATAGGGCTGGGTACACAATTCCAGAAAGGATGCAATTCTACTTGACGAGTGAGTTTTTATACTCAACAAGAAAATACTCACAATTACTAACTAGTCGAAGCGCATTTGTAACCAAGTCGCGGCGCATTTGTAACCAAGTCGCGCGCGCTTTGACGGTGGTTTCGGCGCCCACGCCGGCTTGCTGTCGCTCATCCCAAAGTGCCCCACCACGTCCTCTAAGTACTTGTGTTGGTGAAGATGAAGGGTCTTGTGCGCACGATCGCTGTCGATGTGCATGCCGAGGTAGAATGACACGGCGCCAAGGTCGCGCATGGAGAACTCCGATGCAAGCTTCTCCTTGATCTCCGCCACAAGGTCCTTGCAATCGGAAACGAGGAGGAGATCGTCCACATAGAGAAGTAGGACGAGCTTCTTCTCCCCTCGGTTGAGGATGTAGAGGGCATGATCACACTCGCTCCGAGTGAAGCCCAACTCGAGCAAGTACTTGTCCATCCTCATGTACCATGCTCTAGGGCTTTGCTTTAAGCCATAGATGGTACGCTTCAACTTGCACACACGGTCCGTGCCATCCTCGAACCCCGGAGGTTGCCGCATATACACCTCCTCCTCTAGGTGGCCATATAAAAATGCGGTTTTTGTTCTACCTCTAGGTCAAGCCCTCCCGCTAAAGCTAAGAGCACACGAAGGGTAGAAGACTTTGCTACCGGAGCAAAGGTCTCGTTGTAGTGAATCCCGGCCTTTTGCGTGTACCCTTGAGCCACCAAACGAGCCTTGTATCTCTCCACCTCACCGTTTGGCCCGAGCTTCTTCTTGAAGACCCATCGGGACCCAACGGTGTAGCTATTTGGGGGCAAGGGGACAAGATCATACACATCATTTGCAATGAGTGACTCATACTACTCATTGAGTGCTTGAGTCCAATTGGCGGCTTGAAGCGTCTCCATCGCCTCACGGTAGGTGGTAGGTGTGAAGTCGGCCATGAAGCACATGGCATCTCCCCCTTCCTCATCATCCTCCACCACCATTGAGTAGTCGGCGTACTTCGAGTTCGGGTGAGGAGCTCGTCGAGTGCGAGTAGATGCAAGTGTTGGAGTAACGGCGGTAGAAGGACCACCATCCTTCTCACTCTCCTCTCCAACCACTTCAACAACATCTCCCTCCTCATCTTGAACACTTCTCTCCCCGGGAACGTCTTGAGAAGATGCCTCGTTCGTGTCTTCAACCGTTGGAGGGATGACCACGACCGAATGCTTCTCATTTGGTGGAGTTGGGAAGCGGTTTTCCAAGAATGTGACGTCCCGCGACACCACCACCTTTCCGCTCTCCAAATCCCACACCCGCCATCCCTTGTGATCAAGGCTATGGCTCAAGTACATCCCCACACGCGCCTTCGCCTCAAGCTTGGTGCGTGTAGCATCGGGAACGTGGTAGTAGCAAATGCAACCGAACGTGCGAAGGTTGGAGACGTCCGGTTTCTCGCCGCTCCAAGCCTCAAGGGGAGTCACGTTCGGCAAGGGCTTGGTCAAGGTTCGATTGTGAATCCAAGTCGCCAACATTGTCGCCTCACCCCACCAAGCCTTGTCCGCATGAGCATGGGCAAGCATGCTCCTAACCGCTTCAACCAACGTGTGGTTCAAGCGCTCCGCCGCTCCATTTTGTTGAGGTGAATGAGGAACCGAGACTTCATGGAAGGTTCCCCGCGCCTTGAACCATCCATCGAGTTCTTTGTTCACTTACTCTCCTCCTCCATTCGACCGAATCCGCTTCACGAGTTGTCCGTTCTTCTCCGTCTCAACAAGCGCCACCCATTTCTTAATTGTCATAGTAGTCGCGCTCTTGTCCATGAGAAGGTAGACCCACACCATTCGTGTAGTGTCGTCAAGGAAGGTGAGAATGTAGCGTGCTCCCCCTTTCGAGGTAGGGGTGATAGGTCCACACAAGTCGGTGTGGACGAGATCGAGCGGGTTGGAGGCGAGCGGCTTCGTGCGAGTTGGAAATGGTTTCCTTGCCATCTTCCCTTCAAGACACGCCGAGCATTTCTCCACCTCCTCGTTCGTTGACAAGTCCGCGACGATCCCGTGCACCACGCCTTGGGTTGCCATGGTGCGGATGGTTGACACACTCAAGTGCCCGTAGCGGTTGTGCCAAACCTCCAAGGAAGGCTTCGCCACCGCCGCGTTCGCCGACGCAAGGTTCGGTGTAGCCACGAGCTTGAAGAGTCCGCCGTCTTGATGCGCCTTGCCGATGAAGCGCCCGGAAGACGTGCTCAAGGTCATGACCGCGCCTTCGATGTTGACACGCACTCCCTTGGTGGTGAGTTTTGACACGGAAAGCAAGTTGGCGTCGAGTCCCGGTACAACCAACACGTTGTTGATCGTCATTGGACCGCCGTCCACCGCGAGGCGCAACGTTCCGCGTCCATTTACCTCAAGTGAGTCTTGATTCCCAAAGACCACGCGCTTGATAGGAGCATCCGCCGAGACATCTTCGAGGAGGTCCGCGTTCGGCGTCATGTGTTGCGTAGCCCCCGTGTCGAGAAGCCATGCGAGTCCGCCGAGCGCTCCTTCTCCCGCGATGAACACGAACTCCTTGGTGTCTTCTCCCGAAGTCACCACGTTCGCGCGCCGCTCCTCTTGAGTTGGAGTCGTTGGAGTCCAATTCTTCGGCTTGCTCCAACACTCGCGCCACCAATGCCCAATCTTCTTGCAATACCGGCATGCGCCTTCACGAGCATGACCGCGGTTGTTGGTGGCGTGTCCTCCACGTGGCGTGTTCGACGTGCCCGCGCCTCCACTCGTGTGCCCACGGTCATTCCGTGGCTTGAAGTTGACAACGCCCTTCTTCGCGCCACGAGTGAAGTGAGCCGAACTCGTTGCGTCGCCTGGCAAGATGTTCCGCCGCATCTTCTCGTTGATGAGGCGCGTCGTCACCTCCTCCTTGGTCCACGTCGCTTGCGTGCCTTCAAGAGTGGTGATGACGGTTGACCATTCCTCTCCGAGCCCCCCCAAGAAGCGTCATAATCCAATCCTTCTCGTCCACGTTCGCTTCGAGCTCCACCATTTGTTCGCCAAGTTCATCAACACGATTGATGTACGCTCGCATGTGCTCACTCTCCTTGATGCGCACGGTGAAGAAGTTCCTCCTCGCTTGCAACTTGCCGTGGAGAGACTTCGACACGTGGATGTTCTCAAGGCGCCTCCAAGCTTCACGTGTAGCTCCTTCAAGGTCGATGCACGAGCTCACCACCGGCACGAGTTGAAGTCCGAGCTTCGACACGAGGAACGAGAACGCCTTCTTGTCCTTCTTTTCCCGTGCTCCTTTCTCCGATTCCAAGGCGCTTGCAGGTGGCTTCTTTTCGGACCCGTCGAAGAAGCCCCAAAGTTCACGCTCCATCATGTGAACTTTCAACTTGAAGCGTCACGATGCATAGTGCTCGCCATTAAACAATGGCACCGCACTCATGTCGACGATCGTCGTCGATGCGGAGTAGGACTCATTGAGGGTAGAACAAGCAGGGACCTCAGTGGTCGATGAGGAACCGAACGACATGGCGAGGAGTAAAGCTAGGCGTCAAGCGTTTGAGGATTCCTAAAGCTCTGATACCATGCAGGAAAACCCGTCAGCTTTAAAACGCCGTCGTGAACTCAATTCTTGATGAAAAAAATCGTTGTGAGCTATATATGGATAGAGCTCTGAGCGACGAATCCGTAGCACCAAAGAACGCCAAGATTGGCGAAGAAATGAGAACGCAATCGTCAATCATATAGGGCTGGGTACACAATTCAAGAGAGGATGCAATTCTACTTGACGAGTGAGTTTTTATACTCAACAAGAAAATACTCACAATTACTAATTAGTCGAAGCGCATTTGTAACCAAGTCGCGCGCGCTTCGTAACCACCCAAATTACATTTGACGGTGGAATTTCGGAAACCAAGTTCCGACACATTTCCGTCTCACTCTTCCGTCAAGCACACAAGTTGTAAAAGCATTGGGTCGGACCAATCAAATCGCGCCATGTGTTTGTGCTTTGGTTTGATTCATTCCGCCCACTTGCAAACACCCCTCACCAATTTTGTTTCTTACTACCACCCAAGTGTAGCTCTTGACTTGAGTGCACCGTCACCTCCGCCCAACTTCTCGCCACCCTCACCCCAACTTGACTAAGTTGGAAGGGTGTGAAGTGGGGACCACATGGTCCCAACCGACCCCCAACATACTCCACCTTTTGATACGATTCAAATTGGGAATGATAGCCACGGTCAAGGGCTATAACATACTCGAGTTTGAGACATTTCTGACGGTGCAATTTTCGTCGACGACGTTTCTTGTGAAGTCGCGGTTTCTGTCCAGAATTCTAAGCCAACGATTTTGTGATAATTTCGGCTCCTAAGCTTCTAGACTCCGTCCTTAGTCTCTAACAGATCTTGCCGTCGGCGTCGGACTTGATCTTGAAGAGCCACTTGGACGTTATCGCCGTACGCCCCTCCGGTAGCTCCACCAACTCAAACGTGTCGTTTTCTTCGATGTTCTTCAGCTCACTCTCCATGGCCTTCTTCCACTCCTCAGCATCACTACTCTCCAAGGCTTCCTTGAGAGTTGCTGGTTCTCCCGGCATCTCCACCGGAGAGAAGAACGCGAAGGCACACTCCTCGTACTCGCTCTCCTCGTCGTCTCCGACCATCATTGCCGCTCCAGCTAGGGCCGTCTTGCCCTGCTTCCCCGGCGCATCATAGGTCAGCCTATTAGGGGGTTGAACTCTCCTCTTCCCCCTTCCTTCCTCCTCAGCTGCAGGGACTTGAAGGCCTTGGCGTTGCTGCGGTGTGGTGCGGTTCCGTGGAGCGCTCGTAGTGCGGGAAGGGAGCGTCGGTGCACGCTCGCTCACTTGCTGCACCTCCTCCTCTTCTTCCTCTGCATCCTTGGCCTCCTCTCCCCCATTCACAAGGGAAGATTGCCTTGTGGTGGTGCTGCCGCTGCTCAGCTCCAAAGGCAGCTCCACGTGCTCCAGCCCGGAACTCTTCACCTCTCCAAACCGCACGCCTATTTTCGCCTCATTTTCCGCCTTCCAATCCTTGTACATGAAGTTCTCCATGAACTTGCAGTCCCTGCTCACCAAGAACTTCTTGGTGAAGGGGTCCCAAAGAAGCCACCCCTTTCTATTTTGAGCCATGCCCAAGTGCACGGCCCACACCGCCTTGGCACCAAGCTTGTTGTGCCGAAGATGCTTAGGTACGAGCGCCATGCACATGCACCCGTGAACCCGAAGCATATCCACCTTTGGCTTCCTTCCAAGCCACTCCACATAGGGCACCCATTTGTCTGCTCCCACATGAGTCAAAACTCTGTTCTTGGCCACACACGCGCTCCGCACCGCATCAGGCCAGAAATAGTCGGGTAGCCCGGCTTCAATGAGCAACCCGCGTGCCGCCTCCGTGATCGTCCGGTTCGCTCGCTCGGCGATGCCGTTCATTGCAGGGGAGTATGGCATGGTGAGGGAGTGCCGAATACCATTCTTCTTCAGCCACAACCCCAAACACCTTGCTCAGGAACTCTCCCCCTTGATCGGTGCGGATCGACTTCACTAGTCGGTCTTGTTGCCGCTCCACCATCGGGAACCAATCCGTCTTCAACGTTTCAGCCACGTCACTCTTCTTGGCCAGCACATACACCCACGTCATGCGAGTGTAGACATCCACAATGGTGAGGAAGTACTCTGCTCCAGCAGCTCCAAGCTTCAGGGGGCCCACCACGTCCATCACCACCTCATCAAGTGGTGCCTTTGCCGTTGCCTCCGAACTAGGGAACGGAAATCGGGTGAACTTGGCTTGCAAGCACGTTGGGCAGCCAAGCACCTCATTGGGCTCCCCCTTCACACGTATGCCAGCAACCATCTGGTTCTTCACTAGCTGCTGCAAGATAGGCAGGGCCACATGCCCCATGCGCCGATGCAAGGTGAGCCAATCACACTCCCCCGTAGCCGAAGTCGGATTGGAGAATGCCGCGCTCGCAATAGCGCCCCACATACTCTCTCCGTACTCCTCTTCCGCTACTGCCTTGGGGTTCTCCTCACCCTTGTGCTGCTCCTTGGCGGCTGTACCACTCTCCTTATGGTCACACAGCTTGCTGGCCACTCCAGGTTTGCTCTTCTTGAGCTCGTTCTCCTTAGCGCGACCGTTCGCGCCATCGCCGCTACCAACCGCTTCACCTTTGGTGCTGACGCTTGCTGCCACTTGCCTCTCCTTAGGCATAGGGACCACAGGGATCTGCCACATCTCGTTGTAGACATCCCTATCCTCATGAAGGTCCCACAGGATTCGGTCGCCAATCCTCGCGGTGAAAGCCTTGGCTCCCTTCGAGTTCGTGTCCATGCCGGCCTTTGCCAACCGCCGCACGGAAATCAGGTTCGCAGCAAGGCTGGGCACCCAAAGCACGTTCTTGAGGCCCACCATCCTTCCATCAGCACCCTTGAACATGGCCTTTCCCATGCCTTTCACCTCTGCTCGCTGCCCCAAAGCCGATGTCACATGCTTCACCGGTGACGGCTCATGTAGTGTAACAATCAAGTTGGTGTAGGCCCTTCTGAAGGGTAGTTTCGGGGCCCCTTCTTGGTTGGGGACAGTGTGGCACTGTTCCCCATCACTGTAGCTTGGTTCTTGGGGTTTGTAGGAGCTAGGAGTCCTTCCCAACTCGTAACTCTTCCTAGTTGTTCGTAATTGTGTGTTCTAAGACTATGTTGCTGCCATAGTGCCGTTAGTTCAATCTGACGCTGTGTCGTCAATTCTTAATGAAATCGTGCGATCTAAATTGCTTATTGTAGGCGACGTTGAGACGCTCCAGATCCAAGTTGAATGAGGTCATTTGGAGTTGTGAGCAGATCGCTATGATCGTTTAAAGCCGTTGTGCAAAAACCTGACTGCGCACTCTTTCTTTGGCTCTAGGCACATTGAAGCCTATTGAAGCCTACTGTGACTATAACAAGTGGTATCAGAGCGCCTTGGAGCAGCTACGACGATGGCTGGACCTGAAGAGAGGGGTGATAGAGGTGCTGGTGGCAGTGGAGGACCCCAAGCACAAGGTCAACCTCGTGATTCAGCCATGGCGTCCGTGCAACCGACTCTTGGACCTTCTAAGGACGAACCAAGAGTGTTCGGGCTCGACAAGTTCAATGGCGACAGCTTTGCTGAGTGGTTCTTCAGAATGGAAAATGTGTTCGACCCGGAGAAGAGCTCGTGGGTGCGGAAGAGCGCACAAGGCTATCTCCTACTTGGGCAAGCGTTGGGGAGCAACCAGATCCGTCACATCAAGCCTTTCCAGCGTGAACCAGAGAAGGGACCAAAGGCATGGGCTGCTCTCAAGGGTGTACACGCTCTTGCAACAGCGGCGGTAGCTGTGGTGTTGGAACGGCAAATGGCGACGCTACGAATTGAGGAAGATGAACCCGTGGAAGACGGGGTGCAGAAATTCTTCGACTTGTTGACGCGGCTTGAGGGAGCTGATTTGAACTACAGTGAGCTCCAGAAGAAGACCAAGTTGCTGGCCCTACTCCCCGAGTCGTGGTCCTCGCTCATCATCAATTTGAACCGTGATCTGCCCCGCCTCTCGCTTGAAGACGTGAAGCGAGCGATCCTTCAAGAGGACTTCCGCCGCCGTGAGTTGGCGAGTGCGGATGGCGCTGGGGCAGCGAGCATCGGCCGTGGATATGGCCGAGGAAGAGGCAGAGGACGAGGGGGAGGAAGATCTGGTGGCAGCAACTTCGGCGGAGGCCGCGGAAGTGGCGGATACGGCAGCGACGACAAGAGCTACGGTCGCGGTCGCGGACGATTTGACGGCGAATGTCACTATTGCGGCAAGAGCGGACACATGTGGCGCGATTGCTTCAAACTCCCTGAAGGATGGACCCCTGCTCAAGGCCAAGAGGGTAGAGGAGCAGAAAAAGGCAGAGGAAGAGCCCGAGGAGGCCGTGGCGGTCGCGGAGGTGGAGCCGCGAACATGAAGGGTGGAGATAACGAGAAGGGTCCGAGCGACGATCGGTACCCGGGTCTATTCTACTTCGTGTCGACGCAAGTACCGGCTGGTCCAGAGAAGGATGAAGGCTTTGAGGAGCCAGCAGCTGTGGGGAAGGTGACCCTACACCCCCTGGACTATTGGGTGATCGACAGCGGCGCTACCTATAGCATGACACCTCGCCCCGACTTGCTCAATATCTTGGGGTGTACCCTTTTGGCGAGCTTCGAAATCACTTGAAGCTTGAACCAAGGCTCGGGTTCTTCATCACAAAACTCATCCTCGAGTTCTTGATGGGTCTGCTGCACACATCTGCGACACGCCGAACGTTCGACACAGGACAAAATAGAAACCGCGCACGGGACACACGACAAAATAGAAACTGCGCGC